CCCAGGATTTTTGCCAGATTTTGGCCTATTTTTCACATTTGGAACAGCAATAACTCGAAAAACGCTTGAAAAATTTAGGTGACTGTTTAAATGTCTTATATGTAGTTTTTATGAGCTTTCTAGTGATGCGAGTCATTTTTGTTATGAGTGAACTTGAAATTTCACGTTTTTTAACAATATGGGAGTAATAGGGAAATCGAAAAAAAACTTGTCATAATGGAAAAAGCTCCAAGAGGATACATGGGGACTTTTAGTATATTGTTCAGGATAGTTAAATGATTGCATCTAACAATTTTTAGCTTTTTACTATTTTTTTCCAACCTTGGCCTTAAAATGAGCTAAAATTACTGAACTATTTAGGCGACTTGTGTGTCTGATTCACACAGTACAACTCAATTTGTAAGCAGGTGCATCCTCGTATATGAGCCATAGTCCTAGGTGCGTCCTCGTATGAGCCATTGAACCAGGATTTATTTAGATCAATAATAACAATAAGAAAGCAAAGCTAACTATATATCAGTTAAAACAAATCGAGTCCAATCAATCGTTATTGAGTTTCGTCCACAGAAACCGACACTTCAGAGCCGACATAGAAAGCTCCGTCACGGACAAACTGTTTAAGTTTAAGTACAGAAGGTTTGTCAAAGACATTGGAGACAGCGGGAGATAAAGACATCTTCTTGATAACTTCGTATTTTAATTCTTGACATTCCTTCTCGTTTTCTGTGCGTCTGTCCAACAAATATTCAAAGAAACCTGTAAAGAAAAGGTATTGTGAATTAGTACTGCAGTCTGCAGACCGTATGTATGTTCATGCGAGGCAATTTTTACCACACCTTGAAACGCAATTTTTGTACCAAATTAGTCACAGAAAAAGACTCAACGTGTACTTAGTCTTTAAAATGAGTACAGGTTCTGAATGGTATTCATTTAGTAACCTCAAACTAGCGGTTATAGATAAAGTAGCACAATTAGCCATTTCCCAGTCGAGCAGAGGACAGGACTGGGTCTAGTTGATGTTTGCAGGGACGTTTGGAGGGACAACATGTTATAGTGAGCGAGCTATATATATATTAAAAGATGCCTTATTATAATTATTGCGTTTCAGGCTGCACAAATAACTTTAGGAATGTAGGAAAACCTCCTAGATGCCATATTCGGCATATTGTTTATTTTTTGTCCCTCCAAACAAGCGACTAGACCCAGTCCTCTGCTCGATTGGGAAATGGCTAATTACAAACACAAACACTGCAATCGACTCCAACATTCTTTAGCCCCATCAGTCCAATCATCTTTAATGCCCATTTCCTCTCAAGAAAAATTTCCACGGACAGAAAATTTTTCGAGAATGTCATTGTTAAAAAAGTTGAAAATTTTAAACTTCAAAAAATTTTTTTCCCAGGGAAAATTTGTGTCGGCCAATCACATTTTACAAAATTTTCTTTCCGCGGAAAATTTTCCTGAGTGGAAATGGTCCCTTGATACCAACCGCCCAAGTGATGTCAGACTACACATTTTCCGACTAAATATGGTTTTGAATAACTTTGGCTTGGAAAGGGTCAAATAGTACAAGCAAAAAGTTACATGCGCAGATAGCAAGAGTAGTTTTTAAAATAGATGTGTTGTTAAAATGCATACTTTTTTCGGAAAAAAACATTAGTTTGCTGAAACTGTCACTATCAGCCGGTAAAGGATTCTAGCAAGAGTAATACATACAACAATTTTTCAACAAGTTGTGAGTGACAATCTTGTAGCAACTTGAAAAAGCATTTTTACAATAGACCCATTGCACATGACGTCACAGCGCCGGTGACGATGCATCTGGAGGACAAATTAGCAATCTATGCATAATATAATTTTTGTAAACATATTAAATTTTGTAAAAGTCTAAAATAATTTTGTATTAAAATGGTTAATTTTTGCGCTGTATGTGATTGTTGTACCCGAACAGAGATTGGGAGCATGTTTGGGAGATTGGGAGCATCTGGAGGACACTCTAAGGATTTGTGACGTCAGTGTAATGGGTCTATAGCACAGCTTGCAACAACCTTGTTGCGAACACATCTTGTTAACAAGTGGTGAGATTTTTACGTGTGTAACAAGACTCTTCCATGAACTAAAGCACTTGCCTGGGATATTATTTATATCAGCTAGCATCCATTGATAGCTGACCAAATTATAGAATGTCTTGAAACACGACTTTCTCACACTGTTAAACGGTTGTTTGAGGACTTGAAATAACATTTGCAACGGATTGGCATCAAGCTTTTGGTATAAACTGTGGATAAGGTCCAACGTATTCTTGTCCGATGTATCACCAGACGCGAAGAGCGAGGCGAGGCAGTCTAAGAAATGAACCCTATTGGAAACAAATAAACGTTTTTGAGAAAATACTTACTCGTCAAGGACAGGGACCAACAGCAGCGAGTTTACTATGGGGGG